AATGGATTAATGAATAGATGAATGAATTTATAGATGATTAGTGGATGGAAAGTTAGATGAATGGATTGATGGATAGACAGAGATATATGATGGATAAATAGTTGGGTGGATTAATGAATGTGTAGATGGAAGATAGATGTATAGATGAATAGATTGATGAATGGATGGATAGATAGTCAAATAGATGGCTGGATGGGTAGATGGATAGAATGATGGATTGATGAATGAATGGAGGGATAGACAGATGGATTCATAGGATAAATGGGTGGGTGGATAGATTTATGGATAGACAGACTTATGGGTTGATAAATGGATGTATGAATGAATAGATACATTGATGAATGAAGAGATAGATGATGGATAAATGCATGTATTGATGGATTGGTGAATGGAATGATGAATGGATGAATAATTGGATGGATGGATAGATGGATGGAAGGACAGAAAAATGGTTTGATAGATAGATTGATAGATAGAATGATGGATGAGTGGATGTATAGATGGATCAGTGGATTAATGGAGGGATAGACAGATGGATTTATAGTTGGATTAATGCATGAATGGATAGATGAAGGGATGGATGGATGAATGGATGGATAGATGGATGGATAGATGAATGGATTGATAAATGGATGGAATGATGGATAGATGAATAATTGGTTGGTTGGATGGATGGATAAATGAATAGATGGGTACATGTGAAGATAGAAGAATGGATTGATTGATGGATAGATGGATAGAGTAATGGATGGATGGATAGATAGATAGATGAATGAATAGTTAAGTGGTTGGATGGATGGATAGATGAATGGATTGATAGATGGGTGGATGGAATGATGGATGGATATTGTTTGGATAGATGAATAGATAGATGGATAGATGGAAGCATAGACAGATGGGTTGATGGATGGATAGATAGATAAATAGATGGATAGATGGATAGATAGAAAAATCAATGGATAGATAAATAGTCAGATGATTGATGAATGGCTGGCTGGCTGTATGGGTGGATAGATGAATGCAGAGGTAGATAGAAGGATGAATTGATGGATGGATAGATGGGTAGATGGATGGAAAAATGGATGAAGGAATGGAGGGAATGATAGATAGATTAATGGATGGATGGACGGATGGATGGATGGATGGATGGGTAGATGCAGAGATAGAAGAATGGATTAATGGATGAATGTAGTAATGGATCAGTGGATAGATAGATAGATGGGTTGGATAGCTAGATGGTTGGATGTATGGATGGAGGCATGGATGGAGGCATGGACAGATGGATGGATAGTTTGGTGCATGGATAGATTGATGAATGGATGGATGGATAATTGTTTGGGTATATGGATAGACAGATGGATGAATGGATAGAAGGATAGACAGATGGGTTGACATATAGACAGATGAATGGATGAAAAAATGGATGGATGGATGGATGTAGAGAGGGATGGATGGACAGATGCATCAATGGATAGATGGATGGATAGATGGATGGATGCAGAGAGAAGAATGGATTGATGGATAGATGGATAGATGGAGTAATGGATGGATAGATAGATACATAGACAGATGCATAAATAGGTAGATGGTTAGTTGGATGGATGGATAGATGGATAAATGGAGGGAATGATGGATGGATAAATGGGTAGATGGTAGAACGGATGGAAGGATACATGATTGCATGGGTGGATGGATAGATTGATGGGATGATATACAGATAGATTGATAGATGATAAATAGATACATGGAAAATAGGAGGGAATGATAGAAAGATGGATGGATGGATGAATGAATTGATGGATATATAGATGGATGGATGAATAGATGGATAGGTAGATGAATAGAAGTATAGATGGACAGATGGATGATGAAATAATGGATGAATAAATGGATAGACAGATGGATTGATATATGTATGAATGGATAGATAGATACATAGATAGATGGATGGATGGATGATGGATAGAGAGATCGATGGATAGATAAATAGATGTATTGATGGATAGACAGATGGATCAATGGATAATTGGTTGGATGGATGGATAGATAGATGGATGGATAGATGGATAGACTGATGGATGGATGGATGAATGGATGAATAGATGGATAAATAGATGGATAGATAGACAGAGGAATAGATAGATGGATGGAAATGATGTATGGAATGATGGATAGACAGATGGATGGATGGTTGAATAAATAAAGAGTTGGGTGAATAGATGGATGGAAGGATAGACAGATGGATTGAGACATGGATGAATGGATGGTTGGATGGTTGAATGGGTAGATAGATAGATGTATTAATAGATGAATGGATTAATAGATAAGATGAATGGATGTATAGATTAATGAATGGATAGATGGATGGATAGAGAGATGGATGAATAAATAGATAGATAGTTTGGTGGATGAATGGATAGAAGGATGGATGCATAATAGAAGAATGGATTGATGGATGCATGAAATAATGGATGGATGAGTGGAAAGATAGATGGATAGTTAGATGGCTAGATGGATAGATAGATGGATAGATGAAGGACAGATGGAATGATAGGTGAATGGATGAATGGATAGATGGATGAATGAATGGATGGATGCATGCATGCATATATACACAGACTGATGGATGGATGGATAGATAGATATATAGATGTATAGATGGATGGATAGACAGATCGATTAATGGATGGGTAGATGGTTGTATATATAGACAAATGGATTGATGGATGATAATTGTTTGCATGGATAGATAGAGAGATGGATTGATGGACAGATGGATGGAGATAGATGGATGGTATTATAGATAATGGATAAAGAGGTAAATAAATGGATGGATGGATAGATAGATAGCTGGGTAGATTGATAAATGGATAGATAGATGGATGTATGGAATGATAGATGAATAGATGGTTGGTTGGATGGATGGATGAATAGATAGGTAGATGAATATTTGGATGGATGACTAGATTACTGTATGGATGGATGGATAGATACATGGATAGATAAATGGATGAATATAAAGATTGATGGATAGATAAATAGATCAGCTGATTGATGGATAGATGGATGGAAGGATGGAAGGAGGGATGGATAGATGGGTGGATTGATGGATGGATGGATAATTGGTTAGATGTATGGATACATAGATGGATCAATGGAATGACTGATAAATTGAGAGATAGATGGTAAATAGATGCTGTATGGATAGATAGAAGGATGGAAATAAAGGAGGATGGATGGATATGTGGATGGCTAGATATATGGATGGATGGATGGATAAATGAAGAGATGGATAGATAAATGAATGGATGAATAGACAGATGAATAGGTGGATGAATGGACAGATGGATGGATGGGATGATGGATGATGGATAATTAGTTGGATCAATGGATAGATAAATTGATGGATGGATATATATGTTTGGTGTGATGGAAGGATAGATGGATGAATGGATGGATAGACAGATGGGTGGATGGATTGATGGATGGGTCAGTGAATGGATGGTGGATGGATAAATGGATGGATGGATAGATGGATTGAGGTGGATTGAAGAACAGATGGATAGATCAATGTATAAATGGATTGATGGACTGATGAAGATGGATGGGTGGATGAAGGATAGATGAATGAACAGGTATATAGACAGATGAATTGATAGATGGATGGATGGATATATAGATGAATGGATTGATGAATGAATGGATGAATAGATGTATGGTTATATTGATTTATGAAATGATGGGTGCATGGGTTAATAAATGAATAAATGATAGATGATGAATGGATAGATAGATGGATGAATAGATGGATGGATAGATGGATGTATGGATCAATAGTTAAATAGAAGAATGGGTAGATAGATGGATAGATGGAGAGGTAGATGGATGGATTGGTGGGTGGATGGATGAATGGATGGATGGAAGGAAGGAAAGAAGAATAGATGAATAGATGGATATATGGATAGATAGAATGATGGGTGGATGGATTCATGAATAGATAGATGGATATATACATGTTTGAATGGATGGGTATATAGGTGGATGGTTAGACAAATGGATGGATGGATGGATGGATAGATGGATGGTTTGATAGATGGATAGATGGATGGATAGATTGATGGATAGATGGATAGATGGATGGATGGATGAACAGATGGATGGATTGATAGTTGAATGGATGGATGAATGAATAGGTAGAGGAATAAATGGATAGGTGGATGAATACGTAGATAAATGGGTGGATGGATACATGTATGGAGATGGATAGATGGATGGATGATGAATAGATGGGTGGATGGATAGATGAATGGGAAGATGGATGAATGGATGGATGGATGGTAGGACAGATTAATGGATAGATAGATAGTTAGATGGATGGATATATGGATGATTATAATCACAGATGTATGTATAGATGGATAGACAGATGGATAGAAGATGTATGGATGTATGGATGAATGCATAGGTAGATAGAAGGATAGATAAATGAATGGAATGATAGATTAATGGATGGATGGAATGATAGATGGAATAATGTATAGGTGGATTGATGGATGGATGGATGGATGGATGGATGGATAGATGAATGGATAAATAGGTGGATGGTTGGATGGATAAATGGATGGATGGATAGATAGATGAGTGGATGTATGGATGGGTGGTAGAATAGTATGATGTTTGGATGGAAGGATAGATGGTTAGATGCATGGATGGATGTATAGATGGATAAAAGATGGATGGATGGATGGATGGTTTGTAGGTGGATGGATGGATGGATAGATAGAATAATGGATAGGTGGATGGACCTTAGATAGAATAATAAATAGGTGGATGGACAGATTGGTGAATGGTAGGGATTGGATGAATACGTTGAAAATACATATAGCATAGTGTCTAACTTTTGGTAAGATATCAAAGAATCCTATTCAAACATTATAAATTTGACATATTTTATAATTTGCAGTTGAGTTATAAAATTTCAAAATCTCACTCGATCTTACTTTGAGATCTTTGTTTTTCTAATATGTCTGTTAAGCTGTTTAATGATTTTTTCTCAATAAATTCCTTAATCTCCAACATTGTTGCCCCGGCCAAAGGAACAACTGGTGTTCTTGAAGGGCTTCGTCTAGAAAATCCACAAAGAGAAAAAAATTAATGAAGATTAAAAAAAAAATCATATGGTTGTGGGGGCACATGCCTGTAATCCCAGAGGCTTGGGAGTCTGAGGCAGGAGGATCATGAATTCAAAACCAGCCTCAGAAAAAGCGAGGCCCTAAGTAACTTAGTGAGACCCTGTCTCTAAATAAATACCAAAAAAAGAATAAAGGATGTGGCTCAGTGGTCAAGTACCCCTGAGTTCAATCTCTAGTATCTCCCTCTAAAAAAAATTGCACCTCAGAAGGTGACCATTTTGAGGACTGCATGCAGAGACCACCATGCTTGAGGCACATGTGCATATAAACACAAGCTTTTCTTTCTTTCTGTGTTCTTTAATTTTGCCTGGGTTGCACGAGTTCCAACTTAACCACAATTACTAAATTAAAGAGAAAACTTCCCCTGAGTTGTAACAGGTCCCATCCAAGAGGGGATCTCTTCCCACCCCACTCACAAAATAAAAGGATACCATGCTTACCGAACTGAAGAAAGATCATCCATTTTGGGTGACTTTTCATAGTCCTCGTTGTTCTTGGAAATGATTTCAGGCTCTGCTTGGTGAGAACCTGATAATATTAGCAAATGTCACCAAAGTTCTTATTCCATGCTGATTCAGTAAGAAACAGGGACCCCCTTACACATTTCTGTAATGCCGGCCTTGAGGCAGAAGGCCAGGTGTGTGGTAAGCACCCCGAAAAATAAATTTTGGGGCTGGGGTGGTGGCTCAGTGGTAGAGCGCTTGCCTAGCATGTGTGAGGCACTGGGTTCGATTCTCAGCACCATGTATAAATAAATAAAATAAAAGTCCACTGACAACTTAAAAATATTTTCCCAAAAAAGGTTTGTTAGTCATTACCAAGCGCATGGATAATGAATATGTGGATGAGACTCATTTTAATTATTTGGACAAATGGAAGCCTTCACAGAGAAAAAAGAAGAAAATGTATTACATATTAAATTGTCCACTTTGGTACTGTGTAGACCTGGGCACTCTTCAGATGCAAAAAAAAAAAAATCTATTGGGAATATTAAGCAATTTTCATTCCTATTAGCAGAGGGAATAGTAAGATGTTTAAGGAAATTTTTTAAGGAAAGTACATGTGATAACATATTAGTGATCTCAGAATACAGTAATATGACATGCATCCTCATCTTATAGATGAGAAATTTGCTTTCATATTCATCTAGGGTCTGGGGTTTTAGCTCAGTGGTAGAGGGCTTGCCCAGAGACACTCCACAGCAGGTCCAACCACCAGAATGGGAAGCTACACCCCCATATACATAATATGTCAAAAGGCACTCTGTCATGGAGAGCTATAAAGAAAAAATTTTTTAAATTAAAGAAAAAAGAAAAACACAAAGAGGTTTGCTTTCCTATGCTGAGCAAAATGTTACACGGATGGCCATAGGTGGTGGAATGATTATTTTTCCTTTTTAACTAATTTTCTGTATCTGCCGAATTTTCTTTATAAATCCACTTCTATCACTTCTAGGGTCAGCAACGTTTCTTACAAGTCATACAACAGATGAAAATTAAAGAAAAAGAACCAACAATAAAATTGATGGAGGGAGCAAGAGCGCAGGGCGGGGGCCTTGCAGGATGGACCCTGGTGCGGGCAGCTGCCGCTACACGGGAGGGACTGCAATGCACCTTTAGCTACCGCTACACGGGAGGGACTGCAGTGCACCTTTACCTGCCACTACACGGGAAGGACTGCAATGCACCTTTAGCTGCCGCTACATGGGAGGGATTGCAGTGCACGTTCAGCTGCCGCTACATGGGAGGGACTGCAGTGCACCTTTAGCTGCTGCTACACGGGAGGGACTGCAATGCACCTTTAGCTGCTGCTACACGGGAGGGACTGCAGTGCACCTTTACCTGCCGCTGCATGGGAGGGACTGCAATGCACCTTCAGCTGCTGCTACATGGGAGGG